CTTTATACCATGTAGATCCTAGAGATTGAACTCAGGTCATCAGGCTTAGCAACAAGCACCTTTACCTGCTGAGCCATCTCGCTGGCCCTTTCCTACCAACTTCTAAAAGTGGAGAATTAACTTCTCAGTTTATTATTCATTCTTAGTTTTTTCTCATTTTTTTGCCCTTTAGAAGTTCTTAACTTTATGTAGTCAAAGTCACTTGTTTTCCTTTATTTTAAAGTTTAAGTACACTTTGATTTTTCTTAGTCAAAGACTTCATTTAAGGTCTCCTTTTAAAGAAATACTATATTTTAGAGCAATTTTGGGTTTACAGCAAAAATGACCAGAAGGTGGAGAGGTTTCCTGCTCTGTCCTCTCCACCTCAGCACAGAGCCTTCCTCACTCTACCCCAGTGGTCCGTTTGTTGTGGTCGGTGACCCTAAGACACACATTTCCAGCACACGTGTGGGGTGTGTTGTTTTTGGCGTTCTCACTGTGTCCCCATGGTCTTGGGTCTAGTTGCCACATCTCACGCAACTTGTTTGGAGTCATGGTAGGGACATGGGACAAGGTTAGAGCCGTGTGTTCAGCTTAGCTTGTAACTTAATTATATCAGACATTGTTGTTTTTAAAGGCTAGTTAAATTTAAACAAGCTCAGTGAACAGTAGGAAAACAAACAGATCACAGAGCATGTGGATAAGTTGGTCCTCGAACAGTCATTCCACACATGAGCACCTGTAACTGTGGTGCTGACAGGGGAAGAGCAGACATGAGGGTCTCTAGGCTCAGTGAGAGACCTTGTCTCCAGGGAATAAGGCCCAGAGAGCTAGAGGAGGCCACCCAACGTCCTCCTTTGGCCTCTTCATGTGCACATACCCTTGCACACACATATGCATAAACATGCATATGCCACATACAACACACATGTACATACTACACATGCATACACACATAGACCACATACCACATATGCATGCACAACATATGTGTGCACACACATACAACACATGTGTGCATACAATATGCCACACACATGTGCATATACCACGCACACATTCAACACATAGAGAAGTGAAAGTCATTGGAAATAACTAAATATGTAGAAATGTGTATTTCTTTTATCACTAAATGGTACTACAGCTCATCCATTAACCTCCCAGAGCTTGTTCTGAATTTGGTCAATCATGAAGAAACTGCCACAGACATTTGTGTGAAGTAAGCCAGACACAGAAAGACAAGTACACTGTTTATTTTGTAAACACAGGATGTAGATTTAAAATCATGTATGTATAAAACTTGTATGTAGATTCTTGTTTAGCATGTTTTTTGTCCTCAAATAACTAACAAGGAGTGCAGTTGCTAGGTGTGTGCTGAGAGTATGTTGAGTTTTGTAACAAAAATCCTGGATTTTATGCCTTAGTCTTTCACATATCTATTTAATACTTATATACTGTGAGCTTGCTTTGATAAATGGAGAAACTTTAGATATCCATTTTTAAATTTAATTTATTATTATTTTTATTTTATATGTATGAGTGTTATGCCTGCATGTACGTAAGTGCACCCATGTCGTGCAATGCCCGTGGAGGACAGAAGAGGCTGTGGGATTGGAGTTACAGACAGTTGTTAGTTGCTATGTGGGCACTGGGATTTGAACCCAGGTCTTCCAGCCCCTATCACTTTTTTTTTTTTATGTGTTTGAGTGTATTGCCTGCATGTGTGTAAGTGCACCTATGTCATGCAATGCCTGTGGACGTCAGAAGAGGGCATCGGATCCCCTGGAGTGTGAGTTACCAATGGTTGCTAGCCACCGTGTGGTTGTTGGGAATCGAACCCAGGTCCTCTGCAAGAGCAGCTAGTGCTCTTCACCACTGAGCCATCTCTCCAGTCCCTTATTTTTCATAAACATGGTTCCTCCTCTAACACATGGCTTATATGGCAGAGTATTTTTGTGTTCAGTTCCATTCTTAGCTTTTGCTCATATTGAAGACCTAACATGTAAAAATAAACCATGACATTAATGACAGTCTGGCATGGTGGCACTCCTCTTTAATCCTAGCACTTGAGAGGCAGAGGCCGGTGAATCTGTGACTCAAGGCCAGCCTGATCTACATAGTGAGTTCCTGGTTAACTGGGGCTACAGGGAGACCCTGTCTCAAAAACAAACAAACAAACAAATAAGAAACCATTGATGAGACAGAGGAATAGGATAAGGAAGAAGAGAAGCTAAGTTTTTACTGCATTTATCTCGTTTTCAGAGTTGTCACTGAGAACCTGGAAAGCTTTGCTCTGTTATAAAACATAATCCCTAAAGTATAAAATGAAATAAATGTGCCTAACATTCATTTGGTATTTTTGTTCTGTGATGTTGGTATTTTTGCTTTGAGACAATAGGTTTGGTCTGCACTGAATCCAACAGGTAACCATGGACACTGTTTGCGTCATCTTGCTATCCTTAAGAACTTCCTTTAGCAAGGAAGAGGAGATGAGGATGGAAGACGGAAGAGACTGTTACAGTCTGGTAGACGAATTGGTGGCATGTCAGTATGAACGCCTATAATTCATCACATCATAAGATAATCTCACTTGATTTAGTAAAGCACTTGATAGACATCAGCATCTCTTTATGAGAAAACTCGGCAAACGAATTTAGAAGACTGGAAAGTAATATGGCCATTTCAACAGGTGCAGAAATAAAGAAATGCTGGGAGTGATGGTCAAGGCTGCCAGCCTTTAGGAAAGTAAATCTTAAACACATCAGAATGGCTACAATAAAAACTGTGACAGCACCTAGTGTTGATAAGGATGTGGAGGAATTAGAATACTCATATCTTACTGGGGAATGTGAGATGGTACAGTCACACTGGAAAACAAATAGTTTCTTATAAAATGGAACACGTGACATCCATACACCCCAACAATGGTATTCCTAGTAATTATCGCAGAGATAAAGAAACCTGCTCACATCATACAAAAATCTTGCACACAGCAATTTTATCTGTAATAACAAAAATCGAAAACCAGGGGGCTGGAGAGATGGCTCAGCGGTTAAGAACACTGGCTGTTCTTGCAGAAGGCCTGAGTTTGAATCCCAGCACCCACATGGGAGCTAACAACTGTCCATAACTCCAGTTCCAGGGGATCTGACAGCCTCTTCTAACCTCTGTGGGCATTGCATGACACGGGTGCACTCACCTACATGCTGGCAATACATCATACACATAAAAATAAATTTCAGCACCCTCTTCTGACCTCCATAGGCATTACATGAGATGGGTGCACTTATATCCATACAGGCAATAATACACACATACACATAAAATAAAAATAATAAATAAAATATTTAAAAAAAGAAATCGGAAAACAACCCAGAGGTACTTTAATGGGTGAAACATCAATGTGCTGGCGCATTTCAGCAGTGAAAAGGAAGGAGCTTGTGGTGTGCACAACCACCTGGGTGAATCTCTAGGAACTGTACTGGGTGGAGAAGCCCATCTCAAAAGGGTCACATATGGCATGGTTCCATTTATATAACACTTTAAATGTCAAAATCACAGACAGGAGGAACAGGTTTTTAGGAGCAGAGGCAGGGTGTGCCGCAGGAAAGGATCCTGGGGATTGTGATAGAAATGTTCTGTATCTTGGTTGAATCATGTCAGATCCCAAATGTGATTTTTTTTCTCTTTTTATTATTATTATTTGTTTTTTGGAAGGAGCATTTCATTACAGCTTTAACATACTCATTAACAGTTTCCAAAGCAAAGATACATCTCTTTCAAAAGTGGCTATAAAATTTTTAGGTTCGCTGTTGAATTAATACAGTTATACAATATTGAACTCAATATAAGCCCTGTAAGACATAAAATTGAATGAGTTTTTAACCTTTAAAAAAGATCTCCATTTCATTTTAAAATATACCGTTTCTTACAGAAAGACTCATTGTTTTTTGCCCATAACACTGAGATGTTGGCACACGCATCTCTAATCTGTACGTATCTGATTATTACTAGTCATAATTGGTTGCACTTGGATCCTTGGCGCCTGTGTATGTCTATAAAGTCATTGGGTGTAGATTTCAATGGTAATGTTTATCACCTCTACTAATTAACACGACATAACTTTTTATGCTTCCTCCTCAAATATAATTCATTTTTTTATTGTGTGTGTGTGTGTGTGTGTGTCTGTGTGTGTATCACACAGAACACCCCAAACCATCTTATTCAACTGTACACCCACTTCCCATATGGCACCCTCCCATAGCCTCCCTCCCCCCAACTAGAGCCATTCTACTCTGTTATCCCTGCAACTGCCCGCTGTGATGTTGTCACCCCCAGCCGTTCCCCACTACTTGTCCATCTGGTGAATCTAGTCAGCCTATCTAGAGGTCTTTGTTTTAGGAAGGTCAGCTGTCCTCGTCTAGAACAATCAGTTGTCAATATTCCTTTAGATAAGATTGGGGTCTGCTGTTCATTTTCCCAGTTCTATGCTGGGTTACTATCTGGGAGTCCCTTTGGCCACCCTGGCCAACAACTCAAAAGACAGTATCTCCTATCTGGCATTGTTGCTTGTTATGTAGCCTTTAGCTATACATATGGACTCTTAAAAAATTATATTAGCCCTTTTAATCTTTGGTTATACTTCTTTTTGAGTATTTAAGATCATACAGTTGATGATTATTTCTATTTTTACTTTTAGGGCCGTTTGAGGATCTGTTCCTCAGGGGTTACATGGACTTGGGAGGAGCCCCTGGCCAAATGTGATTTTTTTAAAAAAATTATGTGTACATTGTATGTGTCCATGTTTGGGTTTGTGCACATGAGTACAGGTGTCCATGGAAGCCAGAGGCATCAGATCCTCTGACACTAGAGTTACAGGTGGTTGTGAGTTGCCCAGTGTTGGTGTTGGGAACCAAACCTGCATCCTTTGCACAAGCAGTGTGCACTCTTAGCCACTGAGCCACCTCTCCAGCCCAGTTTTTGTTTTTTCAATGCACGAATTCTCTCTTGTTTCCTGTCAGGACCTGACGCTATTGCATGATGAATATCCAAAGCAACTTTCATTTCCGATCCCTCCTTCCATCACCTCTCCAGCTTCATGGTTGTCAGAAGAGGGGGCAGAAGTCTGTAACCTCTGGGATGCAGGTAATTTGGTTTGGGATAAGACACTTATTCAGAAATGCAAATGGAGAGGAAGTCCGCACAGCATTTGTTTACCTCTGATCCTCAGCGGCAGGACTCGCATTAGGAGGTCGGTCCACGTGCGGCCCCACAACCTTACTTTCTCAGTTGTTTGTGGATTTTGTGTCTTTCGTTTTTTTCTTTCTTTTATTGTCTTAAAATCTACAAGCCTTAAGTTTTTTTCTGCACCTTTATTTTTATTCTTTTTTTTTTAAATTTTTAAAAATGATTTATTTAATAACAACATACTTAGAAGAAGCATATCATTACAACACAATTGACATATTCAATAACGGTTTCCTGAGGTAGGATGCATCTCTTTCAAAATTGGCTGTAAATTTTTAGGTTTACAGTTGAATTATTACAGTTATACAATATTGTACTCATTATAAACCGTATAAGACATAAATTAAATGATGTTTTAACCTTTAAAAAGATCTCCATTTTATTTTTATTCTTTTAAGCCTTACATTTTAATGAAAGTTTTAAAGAAGTAGAAAATTAAATTTAGGTTTTTATTAATTTATTTTTGATGAAGTTTAATGAATGAGATCGTTCCAAAGCAGACACGAAGTGAAAATGTGAAAAGGTAAGATGATAGGGCCACACATCACTTAATCAGCCTTGAATAATTAACATTCGAAAAGGGCACCTTGGCAAGTGAGGTACATGGCTGACACCTGTAATTCCACCACTGCCACTTGGGAGGCAGGAGGGTCACCACTAACCTGAGGCCAGCCTCAGCTACATAGTAAGTTCCAGGCTGGTCAGGGCTACAAAGTGAGACCTTGTCTCAAAAAATTAAAGAGAAAAACGGAGGGGCGGGAGAAACAGTATAACATTATAGAAAATTATACCAAAGAAGCCTCCAGTAATGATGCCATTAGGTTCCAGCTGGATTCTGTTGCTAGTCAAGACCCCTGGGGTCTGACTCCCACTCCATCCTGTCTCTGCTCTTCATAAAGCCCCAGTTTGCAGTACACTTTTATGCTGAGGATGGAGTCAGGGCCCCGTGTCATGCATGCTAAGCCTACCATGGAGGCCATCCTGGTGGCCTCCAAATTTCTCAGCAAATAGGATGAGCGTGCTTCACCAAGGTGTCACTCAGAGGCTCTCACAGTGTTTCGTCCCTCATGTCCTGTGTTTCTACACACTCTGGTGTCCTTTTCTGCAGCACAGGCTCCTTATGGCTTGAGTTCTGCCTTCCTCTTCTTGGATCACGCACCTCAAAGTTTCTCCTTATGTAGATCTGTAGCATCCAAAATTTAAGAGCTGCAATGTATTAATATAGATTTATTTTCTTTTACGAGCTTACATTTATAAATAGCTCTTAGAAGGCTAGTTGTGAGAATGTGAGAATGAGAATATTTTTAAAAGCACAAAAAACAAAAAATTGGGGTTATGGTGATATTTGGATAAGGTGGCATTTCCATAGATAATTTGCTACAAATGGCTACAGTTTTTAGGCAGCTTGTTTTTTGGCTTTGTTTGTTTTTTTGTTTTTGAGAAAGGGTCTTACCATGCAGCCCTGGCCTAGAACTCACAGAGATTCGCCTGCCTCTGCCTCCTGAGTGCTGAGATCAAAGGCCTGGGCCATCACGTCTGGCTTTGCTTGGAATTCTTTCAACACACTCTAAGCAAACACAGCCCAGATCCAAAAGCTTGAAGGAGGAGCAGCGAGGAGAGCTTGTTTGTATTCTAACATTGCCGAAGAGTTGTCCCCCATGACATCTTAAAAATAGACTTTCTTTTTGAGAGCAGTTTTAGACTCACGGCAGAACTTAGTAGCAAATGCAATGTCCATGTGCCCCCAAACCACGCAAGCATAGCAGAGCTATGGGTATTCCACACGAGACTGGTGCATTTGTTACAGTCAGACTTGTATTGACGCGATTGTCTAAAGTCTGTCGTTAATCAGGGATCACTCTTGGTGTGGTACATTCACATGGTATGTCTACACTGTTGCAGGACCTCACCGAGGCTCCCCCACTGCCCCAGGCCTCTCTGCGCTGCACTCTGCACTCCTGCCTCCCCCAGCCCCTGGCAGTCAGTGGTCTTTTCACAGTCTCCATAGACTTTTCTAGAACGTGATAAAATTGGAATCATACATATGTAACATTTTCAGATGAGCTTCTTTACTGAAGCTGACATCTAGTGTATTCCTCCATTGCTCTCCACTCTATTTACTGAGGAAAGGTCTCTCACTGAACCCAGAGCTTGCCGATTCTTACTGGTGTAGCTAGCCAGCTTGCCCCAAGGATTACCCATCTCTGCTTCCAACTGCTGGGATTACAGGCGGCCTCCATGCCTTTTATGTGAGGCAAGCAGTTTATCCACTAGCCATCTCCTTAGCCCCTTTTCCTATTTTTGAGTCTTTCTTTTCTCCAGCCTTCTCTTGACTTGCTACAGTGCAGATCCTAAGCGTTTCACTCCCCAGCTCACAGCTGTCAACAGTTCTCCCCTGCCAATGGAAGAAATCTAATTTTTTTTTCTCGTATCATCGTATGAAACTTCCATAGTTTGATCCCAGACAATCTTTCTGGCCTCATCACTCAAAACTGCCAGTATTCCAGTGGTCTGTGACATCCCGTTATGTGCTGGCCTCTTCTCTTCAGCATGTCTTTGTTCTGGTATAACATGCCGCACTAAATTTTCTGGCGTAAAATACCACTTATTATGCTCATGGATTCTGTGGGTCAGGAAGTAGGGCAAGGCACAGTGGGGTTGGCTTGTCTCTTCCATGATGGATATCTGGGCCTCAGCTGGGGAGCTCAAAGGCCAGGGCCAGAATCCTCCCAGGACTTGCTCCCTCATGAGTCTGGCAGTCACTGCTGGCTATCTGCTGGGAGCCTCAGTTCCTCTCCACATGACCCTGTTTGTCTGGTCTGTCCACGTGGGCTAGTTAGGGCTTCCTCACAGCATGGCGGCTGGGTTCCCAGGGCCAGCATTCTGTGCAAGCAGAGATCTATCCAGTAGAAGTTGAATCATCTCAGAAGCCTTGCCAGAACACAGCCACTGTGCTCTGTTTATCTAGTCTCAAGGTCCTGTCCAAGTTCAGGGGACACAGATGTAGACCTCTATGTCCCCATGGAGAATCAATGCCATGTTGAAAGGAAAGCATTGGATGGAATATATAATGGTATATGTAGGCATGTGTGTTTGGAAAATGTCTGCCAGCCTCTGTCAAATTACAAATACTTGACAAAACCCTACTCAAACAGCAAGGCCCAGAGAAAGTGTCACGACTGGTATAAAGTCTTTCTGTAGCTAAGCTAATTTCTCCCTTCAGTATGTTCCCATAGGGCTTTTCCCGTACCTCTATATTGGAATTTACAAATTTGTATTTTAATTTTTATAAATGATGCTTCATTATTTTCTGAGTTAACAAATGAATATACTCCTTTCAAAAATTCAAGGGGCTGGAGAGATGGCTCAGTGGCTAAGAGTAGGTACTGCTCTTACAGAGGACCTGAGTTCAGTTCCCAGCACCCACGTAACAACAACTGCCTATATATCTCCAGCTCCAGGGGATCTGATGACTTCTGAACTCTGTGGGCACCTGTACTCAGTGCACATACCCACACACAGTCACACATATATACACATAATTAAGAATAATACAAATAAAATCTGAAGAAAAATGGAAAATCTGGATAATGCTGCTACCCACCCTGACCATCCCTCACACCAACACCATCGTCTTTGCAGGGTTAATTGTTAACAACTTGGTGGTTATTTTCTAGACGTTTCTCTGTGCATTTATGTACATGTATATTGTGAAATATATACAGTTAACGTTATTTTGTTTTAGAACAAGATTCCGTATTTTTTCCTGAAGCTTACATGGAGCTGAGGAACACCACTTGGCTTTTCTTCAGTGCTCAGCGATGTATTGTGTTCCTCTTGAGTCCTGTAATATCTGGGTGCACAGCTTATGCCTCTGCTGCTTGGCACTTTGGTATTTTATTTTTTTTGCTATTATAATTGCTTCAGTGAATATCCTCATACACATATGTGAGTGTTCTTTGGGGTAGATTTCTAGAAATGACACCCGAGGCTGTACTGAATGCCCATCTTCATTTTAATTATCGCTGTCAAACAGCCCCCATCAATGCCGGTTGCTTTCCAGCTTGTAGTATATGAAAGCACCATCCCCTCATGCCCTCAACTAGGCTTCATATTTTCAAGCCTTATATTTTTATCACTTGTATAAAGTTGCATTGCATAGCCAGGATAATTGGAATATTTCCACGTATTGATGGGTGTTTTTATCCCCTCCTCTGTGACTTGCCTATTTATATAATTAACCTGTTTGTCTTTTGCATTGTTTGTTGTTCACTTGAACTGATTTTGTGGCATTACACACACACACACACACACACACACACACACACGTATAATTTATGTTCGTGATTTGTTTTGCAAATCTGTCTGGGCCGTGGCTGTCTTTCAGCTTTCTCAATGACATCTTCGTGGAAGTTTTAGGTTTTCTGTCTTCACTCTTTTCCTTCATAGCTTGTGTGTGTGTGTGTGCGTGCGTGCGTGCGTGCGTGCGTGTGTGTGTGTTTTAAAGGGCAAAGAGCAGCCTCCTGCTAGGGAGATGGCACAGTGGGTCACATGCCTGCTATGTAAGCAGAGAGCTCCAGTTTCCCAGAACCTAAGTAAAAAGCCTGGCAGGATGCTGTGCTCACCTGTTACCCTAACTTTTGGGAGGGGGTGCAGAGGCAGGTGGATCCCCAGAGCTTGTTGACTAGGCAGCTTAGCCCAGTAAAGGTGCTTGTGGCCAAGCCTGACAATCTGAATTCTATCTCTGGAACCTACATGTGGAAGGACAGAAATGACTCCCACAAGCTGTCCTCTGACCTCCACATACATGCCATGGTGTATGTGCACATATGGAAGCACACAAATACATGTAAAAAATTTTAAAATGAAGGCAGATAACAATTGAGAAGAAATATTCA